TTTCTGGCAGTTGTCAGTGACGGAGTGGAAACACCTTACACCGTTGTGATTGTTTTTTGTTTTTTTAAAGAATCGCAACACCTTTAAAATAAATTAAGGATCAGTATCTTGTAATAACAGGAAATTTTCTCATTATTACGTGTTATAAATCCAGTTTTGACCAAAAACTCTCCTTAAAATGACATATAAATGTCATTTTCAGGAAAGCGTTTCTCAAAATAATGTGTTTAATATCTCGTAATAATGTGAGAGGTTGTAACATTAAAGTGGCGGTTATATGTTGTGGTGCTGTTCTCAGAATGAACAAGGAAGGTATGTTTAGCAGTTGCAGTACCACAACAATGAGGAAAAGTGCCAAACAACGTTCGCTAGCTCTCTCACGCCCTTTACCAAGACAACAGACTGTCAGGTCTTGATACCAAGAAGAGGTTGAGAGCTTGTGTTTAAGTGTAACACAAGAAGTCAAGTGAAGAGGCAGCTGGAGAGACTGAACAGGAACAAGGCTGCAGGTCCAGATGGTGTCAGCCCCAGAGTACTGAGGGCCTGTGCAGAGCAGCTCTGTGGGATTCTGCAGCACCTCTTCAACCTCAGCCTGGCCCAGGAGAAGGTTCCAGTCCTGTGGAAGACATCCTGCCTTGTTCCAGTTCCAAAGAAAACTCGCCCATCAGTCAATGACGACTACAGACCGGTTGCCCTGACAACCCACATCATGAAGGTCCTGGAGAGACTCCTGTTGGTCCACCTGAATAAGCAAACTAGAACATATCAGGACCCACTGCAGTTTGCTTATCGCCATGGAGTTGGAGTTGAAGCTGCCATCATCCAGCTGCTTCAACCAACCCACTTTCATCTGGAAAAAGCAGGCAGCACTGTGAGGGTCATGTTCTTTGATTTCTCCAGTGCATTTAACACAATCCAGCCTGATGTACTTTGCCAGAAACTCCAGAAGACACAGGTGGGGGCCTCAACTATCGCCTGGATTAAAGACTACCTGACAAACAGACCACAGTTTGTGAGGCTGAAGAACTGCACATCAAACCAGGTGATCAGTAACATTGGAGCACCACAAGGGACTGTACTCTCACCATTCCGTTTCAACCTGTACACCTCAGACTTCCAGTACAAGTCAGAGACCTGTCATCTACATAAATACTCAGATGACTCTGCAGTTGTCGGGTGTATCAGAGATGGACAGCAAGCTGAGTACAGAGAGCTGAGTACAGAGAGCTGGTGGAGCGCTTTGTGGCATGGTGTGGAAACAATCATCTGACCTTGAACGTGAACAAAACAAAAGAGATGCTTTTAGACTTCAGAAGAAACAGGGTGGAGTCAAACAGTTTTTCCATCAAGGGAGAAGAAGTGGAGGTGGTTGAGGAATACAAATACCTTGGAGTTCACCTGGACAACAGACTGGACTGGAGAAAGAACAGCATAACAGTTTACAAGAAGGGACACAGCAGACTGCACTTCTTGAGGACGCTTAGGTCCTTCAATGTCTGTAGCAAGATGCTGCAGATCTTCTACAAGTCTGTTGTTGAGAGTGTAATCTCTACAGCCATCGTCTGTTGGGGTAGTAGCATCAGAAGCAGGGACCTGGAAAGGCTCAACAGCCTAATAAAAAAGGCTGGTTCTGTTCTGGGGACAACGGTGGAACCACTGGAGGAGATAATGCAAAGAAGGATTCTCCAGAGAATCAAGAAAATTATGGACAACACTGAGCATTCTCTTCATCAGACAACAGAAGAGTGTCTTCAGTCAGAGGCTTCTTCAGTTTCGCTGCAACACTGACCGCTACTGGAGATCCTTCCTGCCAACAGCCATTTTGATATACAATAACTCTTTGACGACTTGATTATTCTTCTGAGCTACTACAGCAATCGATTTCCCTCTGGGATTAAAAAAAGTATTTTTGAATTGAATAGGTGCACAACAACAAAAACCCAGACAGATTTCTCACACAAAGGGAACACCTTTAATGTAGTATCAGGACATCCTTTTTATGGGTATCATTTTATTAGAGTTAAAAAGGTTTCAAAGTATTAAATGTGAAAAAGCATGGAAAGGAAGTAGACTTTTACTTTGAAACCTGCAGTTCAACTACAAAGTGGAAGTGCCGAAATTTTGCGTGGACAAAAAATCCAAGAGGGATATTTTCTCTGTTGTTATATAAGGATGGCCTGACCAAATGTGTTGCTTATAAAGAAGCTCTCTGGCTCTATCTTCTCCATTGTTTCTTCTGGACAAAGATTCAAAAATCCCACGAGATGTTGGTGTTTCACCTTTTAGAGCTAACTCAGTATTACAAGATGTTAAACCCGTTATTTTGAGAAACTTGCCAAAACAAGTTTGTTGTTGCTATGAGGAAATTTCTTCTTAAAATGAGATTTATTTCATGCAATAAGAAACATTGTTGTAATGAGATAATTCTTAATTTTTTACCTGCACTGACGGTAAAATGTTTCTGTACACAAAGACACACAAAATATGAAATCTTTGAATTTGTGAAACTTTAAAGCTGAACTTCCCCCTAAAACCCAGTACACACGGCAGGATTTGAAAAATGTGAGAGACAACACAAGTGGCAAAAAATAAAATAAAAATAAAAAAATCACATATCAATTGTAGTCTTACAGTATTTGGTGTTTGGCCACAGGGCAAAAACTACGGATTACACACAAACTGTTTTCACACCCAGTTAGATGGGAAATGTTGCCAGATCAAATGTGATGTTGACATACTGTAAACTAGCATGGCTGATTGACTAGATGCCACATTCAACAGGATACACACATGGTTGTACTCAGATATTGGCCCAAAACAATTCAACAAAATTAAAAGACCCAATTTATAATCGGAGTGGTCCTAACATGTTTCCAAGCAGACTAGTTCACTCATAACACACCACACAATGTAGGATTATCTGATACGATTATCTTTAGAGCCACTAATCATGCACATCATTAAGATTATCATGAGGGGAGGAGCAAGTCAAAAATTGACATGATTACCCTGCCGTGTTAACCGGACCCTAGTTCTCTGTAACACATCAGATATGTATCTGTAATCATTCAAGTAGCTCGGCCTTCAGAACATCATACGGACTTCTTTTCCAAAGCACAACATGACACAGATTGAATTAGTAGATTTAGCTGGTCACAGATGTTAATAATAGTTTTCATTATTCTACAACATAATCAGTCCTCTATTATCTCAGATATCAGGAGCACATTACTAAGCGGTCAATGGGAAAGACGCAAAGTGACGCCTCAATCCATTTAATTAGAATCCTCAGCTCCTGCAAATCGGGTCTTCTGCTCAAAGATACAATCTACATGTATTTACGTGTGTGTGTGTGAGGGGGCTCTTCTGATTGATAATTAAAATCTCATTTGTCCTGTTAAACGCTAAGTGGTTGGATGGCGATGGATGAGCGTGTATGTTTCTGAACATTGCTGTTGTTAATCAAACTTACAATAATACGGTTCAACAAGTTTCTCAATGATTGAAAAGTGAATTAACTGATGACTGTTTGTCATCACAGCTGTAGAAATAACACAACAAATGCTGGTCACATGATGCACTAATGGTGATGGAAGGGTTACACCAGCTGATAATGATGGTAGTGGTGTTTGTATTTTTCCTGAATGGTAATTACACTTCAGATGCAGAAATGCATTTATCATGCAAGTATTAAATACATAGATTTTAAAATAAATGTAACAGTATTATCTCATCACTCAGTCAGTTCTTATTTATGCCTTTTAGTCCTTTAGTCTTGTCTAAAAATTCAGCCCAGAGCGTTGCCTGCATCCCACCCAGAAACCAGATCTGAGAATGGGGCCCATGTACAGGCACATTTGCCCATTGGGCCTAGGACATGTTCCCCTATGGACCAACCACCTGAAGGTAGAGCTCATTGGGGCTAGAGAAGCTTGGCATAGGCCGGCCCACCTTACTTGATACAGGGGGATGTTTTATTATTGGACTTATGTGCAAGTCACAGTTTACCCATGATGAAAATTTAAACCTAATGATGCCAGTTGGAACACTTGGTACTAGGTCATAGGTCACAAGTGGATGATAAACTTTGTAGTCATATCGCCTGACTGGTGGATTCATGCTGTGGACACCCAGATAAAGAGTGTAGAGATGTGAACTGGTCACAACCTGGTGGGGAGTTTAATCAGATGGCAGAGGCACATGCAACAAAACACAACGGGTCTTCTGGAAAGTCTTGGTGAAAAAAAAATCTGCCAAAAGGTTCTTCAATGCCTACAGAGGACAGCAGAGTCCGGCTGTGCTCTCAGGGATTTTTGACCCTAATGGTCTTCCGTTGGTAAGGTTTCACTCGAACACAAAAATACCACTTGCTTGCAATAATGTAGAAATGTACTTCCCCCGTCACCAGGGAAAATACACATTGTCACTTTAACTAAGGACCAAAAGTTTTTTTCTAATAATCCATCTGGTCCTCTGAAATGAAAACAGAAACACCGGGTTGAGGTTCCTCTTTGGTTCCTGGCTGTGAGTGGCATGCACCACCTCTCCACTCGGCCGACATGACGACAGATGACATTCAACCAGAACAACAAGAACAGCCTGAAGCAGAACTATATGCAGAACAAAGCAGCCCCGTCAGGCTCTGCTCTGACAGAACAACAGTCAGGGACATGGTAGTGATGAGTGATTCTGGTTCTCAATCTGCCAACATTCCAGGTCAGCTTATCACATGACACACACCACACAGCAAATAAAATGAGAGAACCAGATTGTGCTAATGAGCTTCTTCCAGGCATCACTTTTGCGTCCTTAAGTAAACTGGCAATCTCAGATTATTACGGAAACAGATTTTCTAGGACAGAAATAGCAGGGCTGAATAATGTCCTTTGTTTCCATCATATAATTTCCAGTGAGCATCTTTAAAACTGTGAGACAAAGCCGACTCAGAGGCGTGGTGCTTATTTCTCGTCTTCCTTCAAGCTGGAAGGCTGTGAACTCACCCTCTTGATGTCCTTGCCGAAAGTCTCACTGAAGCTGGAGCCAAGGATTTCAAACTGAACATGAGAGTTTGAGCCACTGTCCTTAAAGTCCATCGTCCCTGTCAGACCGGTGATATTACCCTGAAATAAAGGACACAGACAGGGTGTTGACCTCGTATGGATTAGACCTTTTGATGTTTTTGTCAGTTTTTCTATTTTAAGATTCACTACGAAACGACTTTGTTTAAACCCAGTAGAAACTGTCACTTTTTTTTCATTTGTGCTTAATGCAAAAAAATGGTTGCTTTGAATTTTTGCACATTAACTTGAACACATCCTTGAAACGTGCATTTATTACAATACCACTGTTCAAAACATTTTTCCTGCACCGTTTATGCATTACTAAAATCTGCTTTGGACTGTGATGAAAAATAATTTATACGTTTTCCAGGAACACACAGAGCCGACCTATCTAATGTGACACTTCAGTCTTCCAGCAGAAAACCTAAATGTGGCCCCGACAGGTATGCTTCTGTGACTACTGTCAATCAAACAGTTAACATGCCTCACAGACACAAATTGAAAATATTCCAGTAAATGGACATCGCTTTCATTCTTTGCCATGTCAGTATGATCAGTTTGAAATGTGGGCAGTACAGAAAAACCTTGAAGGTTCCATGTGAGTTCTGAGCAACAGGGTTTCTTTGAACAAGATCACTATTTTCTGGGAAATGGGACTTGTTTTTAACAAAAAACAATAGGAGGATCTTTTGTGACGTCAATGTTTATGTTTCTCGCATTGCATCGCAGGAGTGTGTGGCAAGAAACAGCGTACTGTGCATTTGAAGGGATTTAGTAAAGCAGATGAGTCATTCTTGCAGTGTGGTGTATTGTCACATAAACCCAAGGGATAAACCATCAACCCTGCTCAATGGTCAACTTTCTCACGGGGTCACACCCATTAGGACAGTGTGAGGGTTAAAATTTCAAACTCCTTACAGTCTCTTTAAAGGTACAATGGCAAATTTGGAAAACAAATTAGCTTACAGAAACCAGATAATGCTATTTTAAAGCTTTGAGACCAAAATAAGGCACACTATATGATAAAAAGTCACTGTTGGCACTATTGAGATGTCATTTATCTTAAATATGAGTTATTTTTGTTAGTCTCAATTTATGCATGGAAATACATCTGTTTGTCTTGTTTTGTTATGAGCTGATGTCAGTTCGACTCCCGGTGTGTGCAGTAATTTTTTTAGCCAGCTGAAGCAGATTTCATGTATATATATATATATATATATATATATATATATATATATATATATATATATATAAAAGTTTAGTTGATTGTTTTCTGCCAAATATTTTGTGTCTCTAAACATCTTTGAACTTGGTTATTTCCAAGCAGCATTTTAGTTGCTTTTCTCAGCTCACCTCACATGAACTCACACTGGCTAAATAAACAAAGAAAAAAACTGATTAGTCCTTTTTAATATAAACAGTTTACCAATAAAAGGTTGAAAATATAATAGTGGCAAGTGTAGCGAAAAGATAATAAACGACCAGGAGGCGAACCTGTGCAAAACCACATACCAGTGTGGCAATGTAACCACTAAACTACTGAGTCTGTTAAAACAATAGTCGCCTAACACAGATATCCTAATCTGGCAATTACGTGCATCTTTGTAGACAGGACACATGGTTTTTACAGTGGTGTTTTGTCCGCAGTGCAGAAGAAATTTGTCAGAACATTTACAGAATATCCAGGTTTTAGAACCAAGACTAGACCAGGTTCAGGGGGAGGAGAAATGCCTGGTGACAAAAGTGAAATATTTTCTCCTGGATGCAGGAAAATCTTTACATGGGCCAAATTGAAGCTAAAACTGGAAAATGCATGAATGCAGCCAAAATCAGATTTGGAGGCGTTTCACATGAGAAAATGACAATATAGCATAGCCAAAAGATTCAATAAGTGGTTTTTCCATGATACGGAATGTTTAAAACATTTTTTCATGCCTATTAACAATGTTCTAACATCGTAGAGCTATAAATATAGTGTGGAGATAAAAATAATAACAATACAGTGGTTCCCTCACATTTGTTTAAAAACCTCCACAATCCGGTTGTCAGTCTGGCTGAACCACCACACTTTTGCTCTTCCCTGGGTCCTTCACTCATTACACACTCATGTATTTGGCAACAGAACACAACTGGTGTGAGAGGTTCTCTGCTCCCTAAATTTAGAGAAGGAGAAACAGCCGGCTGCTACCACTTCAACTTTAGGACAAATTACCAGAGTCCCCAAATAGAAAAACGTCATTTGAAGTCATGGACAACAAAAGACGTTTGGGCCTGAGTGAGTGATGTTTATTTGACATGGACACAGCAATTACATTGGACGAACCAGATGCATTGTTTAGTGTGTTAGCACACGTGCTAATTTGCAACACTTGTCCATTGAACTTTTCTAAAAAGTCGAATACAGTTAAATAAAATACAAAGAAATCAACAATAAATCAAAGAGAAAACAGATTAAAATTGCAAACAATTTTCAATAAAAAAGAATAAAAAGAATAAAACAAGGCAATTTGAGCAGCAATGCAAGACTTTAAAACTATTCATGTAGACATTGTTGTTTAGACTTTAACCATTTTTTGAGCTCTTTGTTAAAAACTTTACTGTCCGTTTCTAGTTTTAGGTCAACAGGTAGAGAGCTCCAAAGTTTGGCCCCCTTTACAGACTGACCAAAAGAAGTCTTGCACCGCGGGACGAGACAATCGCCGCAGGTGGAGGCTCGAGTGATCGTTCTAAGAGAGCTCTGACGTCTGATGGCCACAGTAGAGAACAGTTTAGACAAGTTATCATTTAGACAATTGAAAAAGAATCTTAGAGTGCTAAAATTAATAAAATTTTCAAAAGTGAGAAGATTATGTTTCCTTAAAATGCGGCAATGATGCCATTTCAATGGTTTCTGGTCCATAATTTTTATTGCTTGCTTGTATATTAAGACTATAGGTTTTAGAGTGGTGGATGAAGCCTGTGACCATGATGTAATGCAATATGATAAGTGGGGAAAGATCAGTGCATGCATGTACAGTTTAGCAGTTTGGTGTGACAGGTTCCTTCTGATAAAACAACAACTGGTGTTTAGCGCTATCTTGTTTACTCCTGAAATGCAGGCTTCCGGTTCCGGCAGAAGCGCCTCAGGGAAGATACCCCAGTGGAGGAGTGAGTGTTCTGAACAAGCTCAGAGCATAGTGGAGCTCATGGCTTAAAGATCGCAACAGAACCACATTATCAAGCAAAGATCAGACCCTGAATTTTCCAATGGATGGACGGACCTGAACACAGAAAAACCTGATCAGTAACGATCATCAGCAGCCCTGTTCTGCTGTTGGAGCTTCTGGAAAACCTCCGTGTCTATAGCAACAGCTGAGATGAAAACAAACTGGTTCAGCTCACTACTGCAGTCCTGAGTCTGACGCACTAAAAGGCCACAGATGAAATGTCAGCACCCGACTTCTATCAGTTCATGTTGGATGCAAACAAAGACTAAAGGAAACCATCAGAAAATCAAATGGTCCTGTCCGATGAAAAGGTCGCCGTCGTCATCACCTGGAGAAAAATGTTTAATCTTTGGGGTTTGTGAACATAGAGCCCCATTTATTTTCAATCATTCATTCATCACTCTTAAAAGTGAAAACATTCATTTAGCAGAAGTGTGAAGTATTTAGAAGATATGAGATGTGAAGGCTGAACCTGTGGTCCTGGAGTTTATCAGGCATCACTTTACTGTCAAAGAAATAACAGAACTGTTAATGAATTAAAACCTTATTTTTAAAAGGAATCCGGTAACCAAAATATATCGTCTGGCTTTCAGTATCACAATATATCGTATTGTCTCACCTGTGCTGTGATAAATATCATATCGCCTAATTATTGCTAAAACACATCCCTAATCTTTTCTTTTCTTCTAGGAGAATCAAACTCACATCAGTGCTTTCAACTGCTAATGGTTATTATGTTCTCTGACAAACAGCCACCATGTTTGATTAGAGCACCACTGCTCTTCAAGCCATGCCCTAAATACTGGTGTACTACACCACTGATGATGTATTTAGCAGACGCTTTTGTCCAAAGTGACTTACAGGTGATAATCAAGCCAGCAGGTTTCCCTTGAGGCTAACAACAAACACTATTCAGTTAATCCTAGGTAGCAGTGAGGCAGCATAATCAATCACAGAGAGAAGTGAACATGGAGTGTGCAGTAGAGTGGGGGACGGGTGTTGTGAAGTTCCTAGTTTAGAAGATGCTCTCTGAAGAGCTGGGTCTTCAGGAGTTTCTTGAAAATCAACAAGGCAGCCCATGTTCTAGTAGTGCTTGGTAGGTCATTCAATATCTGTGGATCAACACATGAAAAGAGTCTGGATTGTCCTGAGCGTGGTGTAGGCGCTGCTAGCCAACGATCCACCCATGGCCAGAGCGGCCGGGCCGCGGCGTAAGCCTTTGCAAGAGGATTCAGGTAGATGGGAGCTGTTCCATCCAGGACTTATTTGTATTTGCATGTTTAGAGAGTCTGTTTCTTACTTCAGCCTCACCTCTGTCAGTCCGCCCTAGGGCAATTGTGGACACATTGTAGCTCATCACCATCAGTATGTGAATATGTGTGAATGAATGAATGATACACTGTAGAGTAAAGCGCTTGGAGTCCTCTGACTCTGAAAGTTGCTATAAAAGAGCAGAGGCCTCATTTATGAAGCTTGCTTACATACAAAACGGGGTTGGAAAACTGCGTAAGCAACTGTCCATGCAAACTTTGGGATTTATGAAAGAAAACTTAACGGAAAAATGTGTGCAACTTTAAATAGACTAAGGACCTGGCTTACGCACATTTTGGACATGGAGAGCACCTGCAGTGCTGCTGCTGAGAAGATACAATTATGAAATCCTGCAGCATTATCACTTGTACTGCTTTGTTTTCACACAGAACAAGACCCCCCACACTCACTCACACGCACGCGCGCATGCATGCACGCACGCACACACACACACACACACACACACACACACACACACACACACACACACACACACACAGCCTGAAGCGCAGAATATGGAATGCAGAATATCAGCAGGGGGACAGATTGAGACAGAATGTCATGCGTCTGTGACAGTGTGTGTGTGTCCCTTCACTGTGACCTCATTGATCATACGCCCTAGCTACTTGAATAAGGGAGATCTCCATTTGGCTTACTGGTTGGCGCGCGTGACTTTCACCTGGGAGTCTGAGGATCAAATACTGGTTGGACAATTTTTTTGTATATCTGCCACAGATCCCTCTGAAGAATTCACAACATTGACGGCTTCAGCAACGCTGCGCCACTCCGTGGATTTTCTCTTATATGTTTTGCAAAAGCACTTCTTTTCATTTCTCCAGCTCACCCACAGGTACTTCAATTGCTGCATCTGTGACATTGTGCTTCCTTGATCTGCCTTGATCTACAGTCGCCATCGTCATTGGCGGAGGGCTGCAACAGCCGGCTTACAGTGGTGTGAAAAACTATTTGCCCCCTTCCTGATTTCTTATACATCTGCACAAAATGTTTCTGAACATCAAACACATTTGACCATTAGTCAAAGAAAACACAAGTAAACACAAAATGCAGTTTTGAAATGATGGTTTTTATTATTTAGGGAGAGAACAAAATCCAAACCTACATTGCCCTTTGTGAAAAAGTAATTGCCCCCTGAACCTAATAACTGGTTGGGCCTCCCTTAGCAACAATAACTACAATCAAGCATTTGCGATAACTTGCTATGAGTCTTTTACAGCGCTCTGGAGGAGGGTTTTCTAGCATGAACCACCTTTTTAAGGTCATGCCATAGCATCTCAATAGGATTCAGGTCAGGACTTTGACTAGGCCACTCCAACGTCTTCATTTTGTTGTTCTTCAGCCATTCGGAGGTGGATTTGCTGGTGTTGTTTGGGTCATTGTCCTGCTGCAGCAGCCAAGATCGCTTCAGCTTTAGTTGACGAACAGATGGCCAGACATTCTCCTTCAGGATGTTTTGGTAGACAGTAGAATTCATGGTTCCATTTATCACCGTAAGCCTTCCAGTTCCTGAAGCAGCAAAACAACTCCAGACCATCACACTACCACCACCATATTTTACTATCGGTATGATGTTCTTTGTCAGAAATGCTGTGTTACTTCTACGCCAGATGTAACGGGACATTTGCCTTCCAAAAAGTTCCACTTTTGTCTCATCAGTCCACAAGGTATTTTCTCAAAAGTCTAGGCAATCACTGAGATGTTTCTTTGCAAAATTGAGACGAGCCCTAATGTTCTTTTTGCTTAACAGTGGTTTGCGTCTTGGAAATCTGCCATGCAGGCCATTTTTGCCCAGTCTCTTTCTTATGGTGGAGTCGTGAACACAGACCTTAATTGAGGCAAGTGAGGCCTGCAGTTCTTTAGAAGATGTCCTGGGGTCTTTTGTGACCTTTTGGATGAGTTGCCTCTGCGCTCTTGGGGTAATTTTGGTCAGCCACCCACTCCTGGGAATGTTCACCACTATTCCATGTTGTTGCCATTTGTGGATGACGGCTCTCACTGTGGTTCGCTGGAGTCCCAAAGCTTTAGAAACAGCTTTATAACCTTTACCAGACTGATAGATCTCAATTACTTTTGTTCTCATTTATTCTTGAATTTCTTTGGATCTTGGCAAGATGTGTAGCTTTTGAGGTGCTTTTGGTCTACTTCTCTGTGTCAGGCAGCTCACATCTAAGTGATTTCTTGATTGAAACAGGTGTGGCAGTAATCAGGCTTGGGGTTGGCTACAGAAATTGAACTCAGGTGTGAAACACCACAGTTGGGTTATTTTTTAACAAGGGGGGCAATAACTTTTTCACACAGGGCAATGCAGGTTTGGATTTTGTTCTCTCCCTAAATAATAAAAACCATAATTTCAAAACTGCATTTTGTGTTTACTTGTGTTATCTTTGACTAATGGTTAAATGTGTTTGATGTTCAGAAACATTTTGTGTGACAAACATGCAAAAGAATAAGAAATCAGGAAGGGGGGAAATAGTTTTTCACACCACTGTATGTATATGCATGAGATCCACAAGGCACTTTGCATTGACTATTTATGGCAGTAAGTGGGCGTGGTGAGAGCGGGATATGACTAAAATGCAGCTGAGAAACATTCTCGTTAGTCTCCGATTTATGAAGCGGAGATTGCGTGCAGCTGTGCGTACTCCATGTTTGATAGATCACAAACCTGCTTGGCGTAAGTACATTTTTTTGCTGAGCTTAAGTACGGTTTTAGTAAGGATTCTATGTAATGTTTGATAAATGAGACCCCAGGTCACTATCATTCATGACTGCAGAACTGGATGGATAGCCAACACAGTAACTAGGCAGTTGACACTTTGATGATTGGTCTCATCAGTAGTGTGGTTGAGTGTGAGCATCCTGATGCTCAACACCAAAGAGATGAATGAGCTCAGAGTTGAATGTTTGATTTTACAGGATTTATTGTCTCCTGAGATAACAGATCCTCTTGCCCTCGGAGGTGCAACAGAAGCTTCTGATGAGAAAACACCAGGTTTAGGGAAAGCTTTTCCACCTGGTTTCTACCTGGTGAACTCTACCTCCTCCCCCCGCCTTTCCCTTACCAACCCCTGTCCTCTGTCAACCATTGGTCAAAACTAATGTGAAAATATAAAATCTGTTTAAAAGTGAACAGATCAACTCTCATTCAGAACCAGCTCCTATGAGGAGCACAATCTTTCTCTAACAAACTGAAACACATTCCTCTCTGTTGGGTTTTGGTCAGGTCCAATCTGGCTCTGCATAAGAAGATTTTCATTTTATTGTTGTTTAAACATTTAAATCATCCTTACGAATAATTCTGTGTTGGTTAAAGAAAAACCCTAAGCACGAGTTTGGCCATATTGTTTTCTTGTTTATTTGGATGAAAAATCCACCAGAACTTGGAACTTTTGGGGCTCGCAGAACCACTCCTTATTAAAGATCCAGTCAGAGCAAGCTGATCAGTAAAATGAAGACAGCAACACGCTCACATCAGATAATTCAGTCACACCTCACTGCAGAAGGCAGATTCACTAACTGGGATTATTTGAAACATGATTTATAATTTAAAATGTAAATTCTGCTGTCTGAAATGTTCTGGTCAGAGGTCCGGAAACACATGACAGATTATTGATGAGCTCTGTGGTTGGTACTCAAACAAACTCATGTTTTTTAATAAAGCTCAAAGATTCAGAGATTCATCTTCTCAGGGACTCGTCAGCTCATCTTTTATCAATTAAACTCTCAAAACCACAGTCCAGGTTCCCCGTCGGGCTGATCGACATTCTGGCTTCACCAGCATACTTTCATGTTTGATTTACTAATGTTGATTAAATAGTTGATACCGTTCCATTAAAGACAGAGAAAACCTGCAATGGTCAATGAAATAAGTTAAAACTGGCAAAAGTAATAAAAATTCACTCAAAACAAACTAATAGAAATCAGACTTTGCAACAAAATAAAGACTTAATATTTAGTTATCATATATACGAGGGACATGAAATACCGTAGTTAATAGTTTATTAACAAAGAACCAGGCACTCAGGTTTGAGATTTTACCTTCTGGATGGTCTCCAGCATCGACCAGCCTCCATTCCACGGTTTGGTGGACTTCTTGATGCAGTTCAGGCTCGCCATGCTGTGCCACTTCCTGTCCTCCAGCTTCCTGTAGAAGGCGTTGGCCAGCATCAGCACACTGTCGTACAGATAGAGGTTGGATACCTGAAGGAGTTGAAACAATGGCAGCTCAGTGAGGACAGCTCAGAAATGATGGATGCAAAATGTTCAGGAGTCTGTTGGCCTCATTATTTCCTCAACATAATCATCCAGAGCAGTTGTTTTAATAAAAGGCTTTTAAATTCTGCCATTCTTATCCCACAAACAAGATGAGAGATTTAAAAAGTTTGGAATATGAAGTTGGATGTACCCAATGCAGCACAAATATTTGGCTCAGCACCTGTCTTAGCTGAAAACAGAAACAGATCGAGGGGTTGACGTGCTTTTTCTATTTTGGCTCCAACTCTGTGGAACGAATTGCCACTGAGCATTAGGCAGGCACCATCCCTTCAAGTCTTTAAGTCTCGTTTAAAGACTCATTTTTATCTGATTGCGTTTTAGTGCTAGGGTCATTTGAAATGCCCTAACATTATGGTTTTAACTATTCTTCTTTTTAACCCAGATGCTTGATTTTATTTTGTCCGACATTTGTTTTTTTATCGATTAGTCTTATTCCGATATCTCTTATCTGTAATAGTTTTTGCTTGATATTTTATGATGTTATGTTTTTATCCTGCTTTTATGCCCATGTACTGGGAATGTTTTTCTTTTAATGATGTTGTTCAGCACCTTGGGCTTCGGATAATGTTGTAGAAGGTGCTATACAAATAAAATTTGATTGATTGATTGAGAAAAAAATGTCTGCATCTTAAAAAAAATTCTACTTTTATTGTCAGTCAATGGTTTCTGAGGAATGGTCCTGAGAGGTGAGCTCTGCAGCCCAGACAACCCAATAATATGCACGCACGCACGCACGCACGCACACGCACACGCACACACACACACACACACACACACACACCATGAAAAAGTCAAAAAGAAAAATAGAGCAATTTCTTAAATCTTAAATTTAACAATACTTTTGTGTCAGTTCACCTTCACGTCCCTGAAAAATAATCCCTTTGCTGATCACCTTCCTCCAACAGCAGCAGCATCCTACTTCAGAGAACATCTGACCCTCTTTTATATAAATTATTGAGACAAATGTCCTCGTTTGTGCACCTCACTGAGCATTCCAGGTGAGAATGTAGAGGGTTGTTGGAGGACAGGAGAATGAAGGAGGTGAGAGAAGAATCGAAGCGTGAGGTGAGCTGAATACCGTAAATCCTCTAATACAGGCCGGTATTCAATTAAAGGCCGGGTCTCCAATTTTGGCCGGTGTCGGAGTCAGCGGAGGTAAATAATGGCCGGTCTCTTATTGTGGCCGGATGGAATGTGGTAACAAGCAAGTACGAGACTCCCAGCGGCAGGGTTATAGTCTCCAAATCAACCAGCAGGAGGCAGTAGGGGTTCGCGCAGACCTTTATTAGGCTTTTTCTTCTAGCTTTGTAACGCTTCAGACACGATCCTCTATCACGCTCCTACCACACAGAGTCACGGTGTCAGTTAACCATGCTAATTCAACCCACTCCACAGAACACACATCACCTTCCCTGTGGCTTACATAACACTCACACAACACGCAAATCAGCACATAGGAACTAGCAGAACGATAGGAAACACATATAACACAATACCCAGAATGCACCTGGCTTACAACCCCAGCCAGGTCATTACACTATCAAGTTCAAAGAGAACGTGCTGATTATGCTGCAGAACACTCTGGAGAGCAGCAGTATGGGGTGTATGAACTACAGTAATCCCTCGTTTATCGCGGTAGATGCGTTCCAGACCTGGCCGCGATAGGTGAAAATCCGCGAAGTAGGGACTCCCAGCATGCCCCTCGCGGGGATTCCCTCCACGTCGCACCTACGTCACAAACCGCGGCTATAAACGGAAGTCGCCTTTACAGCTCAGTCATCGTTTCTTCAGATTCACGATCAGAGTTTCCAACCTACCACTCAATCCAACGAACTATCAGCTCATAGTAAGTT